TGTTTCGGTCCACATTGGGTTTCAAACGACCCTGAACACGAATCGGAGTCAAGAGTTTAACAAACTGTTCCATTATATTTCAAATTATCCCCGCGCAGCTAAAAATGTGGCGATACCACAATCACCAAATGGCGCACAGCGCCGACAGACGATATACGCACAAAACAATTAATAGGCCTGAGGTTAACAATATAAACAAACAAAAAAATAAGCTAATTAATTGTAAGTAGTTAACTTTTTAGTTGAAAACAAACCAAATTTAAAGCACAATCAAAAAAGTGAGTAAATGAATAAAGTTTGCATTCATAAGTGAAAACATAAATATGAGACACTAATAAGTAGAAGAGGACAAGAAAAAAGACTAATTTGTTTGCGCAACCAGGCGTGCAAGCAACTCTTCCACAGAGATCGAGGCTAGAATTGCTTCATCTGCATTTACCAGCCGCATTCATGAGTGGCATATTCGCATGCAAGAAAGACGTGGAATGACACAATCGCATATGTGGCAATGGTTCGACACACCAACCATTTCTTGGCATTCAAAAGTGAGACATATGTAAGGTGTGGTGATCTTGCGCAGTGGTTCTTAATATAATCGCATTTTCCACCCAGTGCAATTTGATGGCAGATTTTTTTAGCAATGAGCAAATTGCTAATGTCTACTGTTTGCCATGACATGTTGGTAGATGTCCTCACACACACACACACACACACACACACACACCACCTAATGCATTCAAACCTCCCATTGGCGACAGGACTGGCAGTTGAAGTGAAGGAATATTTCAATCGTAATGAAGTGGTAGTAATAGTAGTAGTAGTAGTGATGCACGATACCTCAGTAGTGCTAGCACCGTGGTGTTGGCTTTTTCTCAACAACTTTTCTCCATCATTCATTGCTCAGTGCCCCACACACAGGAGTTGCACACCTCTACTTTCATTACTCTCTCCATTTGCGTCGACATTTGTCTCTCGCCATCCACGCCCTTTGTGGGTGAGCAACAGCCACCACACTCCCCCAGCGGTTGGGTGACGCTAATTGAATTCCACATTCTCCGTAAGCGCACTCACATCTCAAGTGGATCACTTCGACGTGGATTGCGTTTACCATCACTGTCAGGTTGGAGGCAACGCCCCAGCCACTGTGGAGATGGATTAGGCAAACAAAAGAAAATTTGAAGAGAAGTGAGTGAAGTGGATTGAAAAGGCAGAGCAATTACGAAGACTTGCACATAAGTTGAAGGCGTGAGGTTAAACGTTGGTAGACTTGGAATAAATTAGCGAGCTTATTTCTTCTTCCTAAAAATACCACTGTAGATGAAATGCTGGAGCAATATTTACTGTTTTGTTTTTACCATCACTGTCGGGTTGGAGTTAACGCTGTAAATGAAAATTGCACTGTCGGTGCAGTCTAATACGCAGTGTCCACCCGAAGTTGAGTTGGTAGGGGTGAAGCAGTCTCATTTTCCTCTACTTCGGTTAAACACACGACTGAAGGCCATTTCAGCTAAGGGAGTGCGGAAACACGCATTCCTCAAGGCGATGGTGACTTGTAGCACACCAGTCACCTTCATGCCACGGTGCGTCCACCACCTCGCGCACGCTCCACACGTCTGGCAGACTTGGGATGCCCACACAACTGGTGCGGACATGGACTGCCCGAATGGGCATCTTGCGCCAGTCTGGACTTGCACAACATTCACACCACTCGCCAATCAGTGGCATTCAGTACTAATTGCTTCTCCCATCTCCAGCTGTCTTCATCCATAATGCTAAGCTCATGAGGGACAGCAATGTCTGGTGCATTCGCTGCCAGGTAGGTGGATACAGGGCTAAAAGCCAAGTCAGACAAATGTAAAGCGAATCATGGAGACCGAGCTTGGAGCATCCAATTGCAGAGGAGTCGCGTTGAAGCCTGCGGAAAAATCGTGATGTGGGTGAAGGAGGGAAGGAAGGCGGGAGGCCGCTATCAACGGCGGTGTAGTGAATCGAATTGTCAGGAAAGGTGATTTAGCACAATCACCTCCACGCGGTCATCCACTGAATTCATGCCTGTGTCAGCGTCTCAACTGACGGCCGCCTTCATGCATGCAGCGTATACAGCGCAGCAGCAAACATTTCCACGCGAGCTACAGCCACACGTAATGCCACCTTTGTTGTTGTTGTTGTTAAAGACATTCCTGCAGAGGAGTGAGCAGGAGCATAAGCCGAGGGTCACTTACAACCATTCTACTAAGGGTCATCACGAATTCTTACATTCTTACAACCGATGCTCTCCCTTCATCACCTAAACACCTACCACGAAGCATCCACTTTGGATGCTGTCTCCAACGCGGATGGGGCTGGTTCTGGGCTGCCAACAGAGGAGCGCCCAGTCACAGACGGGATGCGGTCAACTGGCACTACTCGGTGGCCACGCAAAAAGCGCAGCTCCAAACGCCTGTGCAACCAAGACGAGCAGCTTAAATGATAACCGAATCATTGGCTTTAGCTGCAAGTAAAACACAAAATTAATCACCGCTAATGCGTTTGCACAGGTACACGCATCTTCCACGCACCACACCCTGCCTCTCGCCCCCCTCAAGGCCGCTCAATGGCCTCTCAACGCAACGCACCACACCTTCGTGGGCGTTCTCCAACCAATCCCACGCGTCTTGTGCTCAGCATAAAAGGCACTTCGTCGCACCCTCACCTTACCCTACAACTCTTCAGCGAGTGATGGAGACTGTGAACTATTCGGATGAAACTGCAGGCGCATCTCTGAGGCAGAAGTTCTGCCTCTTTCGCGAACTCAGCAAGCTGGTTGATCTACGCACCACAGTAAGTTGACGCACTTGCAATTCACACTTCGACTTCCAGACAAGGGATGGGCATTGCGTGGAGGCACACCGACTGGTTGTTGCAGCCGCGTTCCCCATTTTGCTGAAACGATTCGCCTCCCAAGGCGGTGAAGTCGCACTCCAATGGAGGCAATTTCCTAAAGAGTAATTGCGCACTTTTCTCCATTGTCGAGGCTGCCATCAGCTACGCATACACCGGCAGCATCGCGATTTCTGCAGCAAATGTGACGCGCATCTACCTGCTGGCGCACAGCCTCGGCTCCACCACCATCGTCGAGTGGTGTGTGGATTTCCTACGAACGAGGTAGGCGAAGCTAACTTTTTTGAGAGTGACAACTGACTGTGTGAAGGACTTGCCTAGACAACGTGGCCGAGGTGTGGTCAGTTGCCAATGCGACGGTGAATCGTGAGTTGGTGGAATTGTGACTTCCACTGATTGCGAGGCACTTTGAAATTTCATGTTTGCGAGGTGAAACGCTGATGCAGACGACAGCGCGGCACTTCGAGGTGCTGCTGGAGAAGATTTGCCAGGGAGGTGTGAGTGAGGAAACCAAGTTTCAAGCGATTTCTAAATGGCTGGATGGAGGACGCAAGGGGTGTGATGCGGCGGAAAGGGCGGACTTGTCCAAACTATCTCCAGTGAGCCAAACGGAGTTTTGGAAATTTGTGAGGAAATATTCCGAATGGATCGCGTCGACGCCCCACTCAGCCTCCAACCGTCCACCACGTTGCAAGTACGTACATCATTTCTGCTAACAGCGTGACCACTCCTTCCAAATCCCAGTAGCCGATGCGATAACTTCTCCTATTTGCATGACCTGACACTGCAGAATTGCCTTTGTCGTAACAACCTCAATTCAAATGTCTAGGGAGGTGCTCATGATCACCGGACGGGATACAACCTCGGAATCGTGGATTTTGAAGTCTGTGCCACAGTTGCAACCGGACAAAGCGTTTAATGTTGAAGTTCCAGGCCATAAAGCATCGACTGTGCTGAATGGTAAGTTAAGCAGGCAGTTTTATTCCCTCACCTTCTAGGCAATTGTTATGCCTTTAATCATAGTAATCCAGCAGGTCCTTTGTGGTCCGTGAATTACCGAAATGGCTGCATTACCGAATTCCCCTTCAAAGGGCAGCAACGCTCGTGGTATTCTGTCGCGGCGAGAAATGAATCAATCTTCATTTTTGGCGGCCACACAAGAAGTTTATTAGAACATAACTGTGTTCCAACTTGCGAAAGAGTGGACACCGCCACCGGCGAGTAGGTTTGATGAAGCTAGGTCACCCAGTTTAGGTTCACTCTCCTCCCAGATATGCCATCAGCGCGTCGGAGTACCTCGGCCTTAAACATCCCAGACATCGGAATCCTCGTTGTTGGTGGACAGAAAAGGGAAGAGCGTTTAAAATCTGCTGAAATGTTGGTAGAAGATCCCTCGGGTGAGAGTGGATGGCGATGGATTGAGCTCAACCCGATGTTAGAGGCACGCAACGAGCCAGGAATCGCCTACTTCAATGGATGCGTGGTGGTTGCTGGAGGGCAAGAGGGGCAACCAAAGATCACCGTTGAATGCCTTCGCCTAACGTTCGTTGAACATCCCACAGCTCCTCAGTGGACTCGCCTTCATGAAGTCGATACGCAGTGCCTGGATTACACCTCGCTTGTCACATTCAACAATAACAGCAGCTTGATAATGTTATCATCATCGTGTAGAGCTTTCGTTGCAGCACTTTGGAGGAGCAAAACACTCAGTGGACTCTAACTTCAATTTTCTCATTTTCTCTTGCAACATCCGGCTGGCTTCGAGGCGATGCGCATGAATTGTTGCCCACCGGAGGGGTAAATGCTGTGCCTCTAAGTAGGCATGAAAGAGATTGACAAATTACAAAAGTGGTGTTACGCACTTTGTAGGACACCTCACTGGCCAATTCGACGTGGAAGCGACTGTTTCGGGTGGACAATTTGCGACGTGCAAGGATTGTGGTCACAAGTGAACGGCTGGACGGAAGCTAATGCGCCTGCAATCATGGCATTGACTCCTTCCATTTCCCATTCGTGTCCCATCGCCTCCAGTCTTGAGAGTGTCCGCTTGACATACGAGTTTTGTACGAGTGGGTGAGAGTGCGGGGTTGAGTGGAGCTGGAAGCTGCGGGTGGGGGAAATAAAAATTATACCATGCAGTTATAGGCAGAACGACACATAAAATTCAACATTACAGAATGATGAATTGTACATGCGACTGTGGGAACATGTTTTGCAGTCAGATTTGCCGCGTCAACTGTTGTAGCCACAGAAACGGGGCGGGGCGGGGCGGGGCAGGGCAGGGCAGGGTGTGAGGTGGGGTAAGGTGGGGCGCTTCACGAGCCCCTAATGTACACTGCTCGGCGATTGTAGGCAAGTGCTGAGGCGTGCGGTGGTGGAGGCATCATTCTCACATCAGAGTAGTAGTAGTAGTAGTAGTAGTAGTAGTAGTAGTAGTAGTAGTAGTGGTAGTAGTAGTAGTAATTGTGGCGCAATTTGGTTGGTGGAACAATGAAAACACACCGTATAACGCCAATTAGGCGACAAATGCGGGTGTCTCTGTCTGATGCAACGTCA